AGTAGTAGCGAAAAATTTATAATATGCGTTAAGGGTGATAAGGGTAAGGAAGAACGAGCTTAATAAATCTTAAACTTATTTTGTCCTGTCCGACAGCATATGATTTGATAAAATCACATGATATATATACGTTTGGCGCAAAACCAACCTTCTCCTCAAAATTGCAAAGTAATCCCTATTACTTCAATATCGATCGTACATTCAGATTTCATTCCGAGCTGTTTTAAATTAATCCACAGAACTTTTGGAGGAAGACTAGTATTACGTTTTGTTTGAAAATAACATCTTTTTGACAAGCGAGTGATTTTAGTTGCGGGGCTTAGAATGGGGTCCAAAACGAATTGGAAGCTTTTTTATAACATTTAATACAGCACGGTCATTTTCCTAACGTAAAACTATATGCAAGTCGCCACACAAGAGTATGTGTTCATAAATTGTGCTGTATTTATAGCTATTAAGAAATTTACAGGTGATAAGGGTTTAGTAAATTACAAAGTTTCTAATCTACTATGTTCTAAGATACGGGCGTAAAGAAAGTTTAAATGCATAATATCAATTCTCCCGGTAGACGTAGCTAATCATTTAGCTGAGTTGCTTATAAGAGAATTCACTTCAGTTCTGGTGCATACCAATTTAGGCTCTTCATTGGGCTTAGATGTATATATGTCCATACATATGAAATCTCAGTAAATAGTAATATAGCGCATACATATATTGCGCCACAACTTTCATTGGCGGAATTGTATAGCTCAGTTACAATAAATATTTGAAATTCCTTAAAGCTCACTGCAACTGACAAATTGATTACTCGTAAATAGCGTTGATTCTTAGTTGCTAGAGGTTGTTCGAACGGCGCATTGAAGAACAGCAACGGCATCCATAACACCAACACCATCACCCCCCCAGTATTAACATCACAGCCAGCTTGATTTTCAGCATCAACTGCTTGCTGTGCTTTAAATAACTAAAAGTACGAAGTACAGGGTAATTGAGGTCAGCTGTCAATTTATTTGTCTGACTTATATACTCATATGTATGTATGCACAGAAGAAATTAGAACTTTCATATGTTGGCGTAAGAAATACACATCAATTTCGAAAACACATCACCGAAATACACTACACTACATACATATGTATGCATATATGTTATTAGGTATGTATGTATGTGCTTAACTGCTTTTTTGGAGTACAGTTCTTCAAGCAGGCGCTAAGCAAAAGTAAAAAAAAAAAAAAACAAATTGTTAACCATTTTCAAAGATTGCCAGACACATTTAATTTTATTTGCTTGCTTTCTGCTTCGTCATGCTGACGATGATGATGATGATGATGTTGTTGATGAAGAACTTTGAAAAGCGCACAAAACCACAAAAGTGAAAAATTGAGTTGCATTGAACTTGACGTACCACACAATGTTAGCCGCCCAAACATGGACACCCAAACATGTTGTAACCTTATTGTGTTGGTGAAAAATGGCAACTAGCAACAATAATATTGAGTAAGTTAACAAAAATAGTGACAGCTGAGAAAAAAAAACCTTGAGTTGATTTAAGGCAAACGAAATGCNACTGAGGATGAGGGTGGTGGTGGCGGTGTGTCAGTGGTGCTACGAAGCGCACTCTTAACACAGGCACCCACACACATGCCTCTATGTGCCATACAAAGCTGACTGGCAAAGTGTCTGCATACTGTTTTTGCTACTGCCGTTACATATTTATGCTGTCGTGTTGCTATTTAGTTGCGGTGTAGTTGCATGCGGCAGCGTGTGACGGCAACTGTGCCGCTTGCCTTGCTGGGCTTTGTGCGCCGTTGTTGGTGTGGTTGCGGTGGCGGAAATTAATGTAATTGCGCGCAGCAAGTGAGTTTAAGTACAACATACGCTGGCGCTATGGGAATTTGTAGTGCCGCCCGCAATATTTTGCTGTTGTTGCGTTTAGTTTTTGTTACCCATTTACAGTTCACAGTTCACAGTTTTTGTGTCTAATGTGTAGCAAATGGGCGGCACTTGGCGTTTGACAAATATCGAGCACGTCACACTGACGCAGTGGCGCATTGACGGACGCGGCACGCAGACGTTGGGGAATGACAGGCGACGTGCGACTAACTAATAAAGCCACTAAGCCAGTTAGTTGTCGGCGCGCCGCCACTTAACCAGTCCTCGTCGTCGTCGTAGTCGTCCACCGGCTGGCTGGCTGGCTGGCTGGCTGGCGTGTCGCCGCCGGTTGCAATTGGTCTGATGTGGCGTCGACAGTTTGACTGCCTGCCTGCCTGCCCACAACTTTAGCTGCCATTTATTATGGCCTGTTATGGCTGCGGATTGCGCTGTTATCGCTCGCAATTACTTATTACTATTACCTACTACTGCTAATTTGTTGTTGTTAGACGTGTTTTTTCCTCGTTATTTTGTTCATTTTTCCCATTTTTTGTTTGCTTTGATTGCGACTAAAGTTGCTGAAATGCTTGCTGTGCAGGTTGTTAAGTTGCTGTTGTTGTGGTTTTTCATTTTCAGTGCTCAATTGTCGGTTTTCCTACTCGTTTTTCCGTTTCAATTTTGATGCTTGCTTCGCTGTTTTTCTACAACGCATTCGCTTTTTGTTACTGTTGTTGTTGTTGTTATTTCTGCTAACCATTGCTTTACTTTCACTTTTCATTCGTTGCATTTAACACATTTTTACCGGCACTTTAGCGTGAGGAGAGGACTGTTGCGACGGGTGGGTGTTGAGTGCAACGATATGTACGCTTGCTTCATGCTTCTCTGCTCATTTTCAAACACACGTAACTATGTGCATTCGCATGTATGTACATATGTACATACATATGTATATTCGTGCGTTTTTTGTAGCGTTGCAATAATTTTTGTTTACATTTATCATTTTTATAATTGGGCTGCAGCTGTTTTTGTAGCGAGTTTCGATAAGAAATATTTTAATAACATGTTTAATGTTAATTGTTGGTATCACTGGCGGATACAAAGTAGGGGCAATAGGAGCGAAAAAAATTTCGATTACAATATACTACCTCGACCGAGAAATTTGAAAAGAAATTAAAAAAAAAATCTTCAATCATAATCCCATTTTTTAGGCTTGCACAAGATTATTTATAGAATAAGAAAGCATGTAAATCTCTTAAATTAAAAATTACAACAATGGGTATGCAAATACTATGAACTTATAGATCTTGTCATCACTTTACGGCATTTACATTTTGGCAAGATTTGACCATTTGTCTTAATATTTTTTAATTTTCATTATTTGTTTATAAAAATATAGTACAAAATCTTTAAACAAAAGCATGTAAATCTAAGCATCTCTGTGCAACGTTTTAAAAAATCAACAAACTTTCGCGAAAATTTCGAACTTTTTTAATTTGATTGTTAAGATATATTTTGAATAAGCAGTTTTTTAGCCCATTCAATTATACTGCAAGTTTAAAGTAACTGATTTTTTGCATTTTATATATTTTTTTTTGATTTTGTTGACCATGTTAGCCATTTATCCCCTACAAAACATTGTCGATGATTTTTTTTGTTTTTGTTATATGGAAAAAATGAGCAACACCTTCGACGAAAAAAATTCCCAAAAATCAATGGTACTTGAAATTGGGATATAAAACTGCATACTCAAAATGTTTCTAAAAAATCTAATTAAAAAGCTCGAAATTTTTACGTTTGTTCATGTCTTTTTTTTAATTTTTCACCAAGATTGAAACTCGGATCGATATGGTTTCTGTTAAAAATATGTTATACCTTTAAAAAACAATAATTAAAATTACAAAACTTCAAAATAAATGGTGAAATCTTGGCAATATGTGAGTGTCGTAAAGTTATGATTAGAACTATATGTATGTATGCATGTGGAATCAAACTTTTTGGTACTACTTTTTTGTCTATTTCCGCGATGAATGCAGAAAATTTCACATTAAACTGTGTAACCAGACATTCGTAGGGGGATAACAGCAAAATGCGTAGAAAAAGCGCTTGCTGCGTTAGTTACCGATATCGCTAAGGAATTATACTATTTGGACATTGTCCTTCCTCGGAGAGCGGATAGATGAAGTTTTCGGGCTGATTATCGTGCATCTAGCGCCGAAGATTATTATCGGTAGGTAATATTTATGTCGCTATTACATAATATTTAGCTCGATGGCCGAGAAAGATTGCTGAAACATTTTTGAGTTGAACTATTACTTCCATACATACAAAATTAGGGAATACTAATCGGTATTGCAATTTCAGGGCACTGATGATGTGTGAATATCCATCGTTCTACTACTAAGGAGCCTTTCTGTCTGTATGTTGGTACCACTCATAGTTAGTAAAGTGCTTTTATCCTGAACACTCTCATATAAACATGTAGACATTTTTCAAATAACAAGCAACAACAATTTTCAGTGAGCATTTCTTTATTTCAGAGAAAAGTTGACTTAAAAACCAAAAATGAATGTTCATAAAAACTTGGAAAACTTTTGCACTTATTTCAATGGATTTTCACACTATAAACGGTTTGGGCAAGAGAAACGAAAGCGAATATACTTTATTTTAATCTCAAAACTTTTTATGAGGATTTGAAAACGCGCACTGAGGCCTTCACTTTTACTTCCAATATGTACAACATTGCCACAGCGCTTAGGTTGTACATTTTAATAAAATAATTTATTAAAATTGGTTAAAAAATACTTCTGTACTTCCGTAAAATGTGCTACGTATACTCCCACCAAGGAGTAAATAGCGTTAAATAAATAAATAAAAGTTCCAAGAAAATAAAGTCTTTATGCCAAACATTAAATGAAAATTTCATTTGGAATAAACAACCAGCTAAGCATCCAGTGATTAACGGCAAAAGACCTCAAATACTCAATCGCCATTTAATGCCAGTCTAATTCAATTTACTAGAAAATACCATTTTAAAAGCAATTAATTTAATCGCTCACAACGCTTATTTTTTAGATCTCGCTTTAAACCTGTACTTCATTATTTTTCTTTCTTCTTTTCATTTGCAGTGCTCGTACACTTCAACCAACAGCTAGCCGCACATCTTCTAGTTCAGCGGACATAGAGCCACCCAGCCACTCAGCAAGCCAACAGTATGGATTCTTACCTAACCGAAATCAAACAAATGCGGATACCTCGCCCGAAATATGAACCCAACGGTAGTCCGCCAAACAACTGGCATCGACTGGTACGCCCATACACACCGCCGCGCGACTACCATTTGCCAATCAATGATATAATCACCACTACGAGCACATTGCCACCAAATCGCAGCTGCCAAGGTGGAGCGGAGGAGTTTCGACCGACATTGCATGAAAAAATGTGAGCCGCACGAGTTTACTCCTCCACAATGACACCGCTATATACAATATAGATAAATGCAGACATACATATTCAACCAAACGCAGTGGTAACGAAAAACGGATTTAATCTCAATGTTTTTTTCATTGATTTAATTAATGAAATCAATTGGGGAAATATGAAGAATGCCAAGTGAAGCAGTTAAACGTAANTGAACTTTGTTACTATTGTTCCACTAAGAATTTATGAAACCAAAAGAGTCCGAAATGGGTCAGTCTAGTTGACCGCTCTCAGAATCATATTTATAAGGAAAAAATACTCATTTAAGATTCATAAATTTTGAACATTCAAACATTTTTTTCAAGGGATAAAAGTGTTTATTAAAGTGCTTAAGTATGTAATTAAGTAAGTAAGTATATTGTACGTGTATGCGCGTTTCACTACTCACCGCATCTTGTTCGTATTCCGAGTGTGGTATTTGAGTTTCACTGCCTCGACGGGACCTATGGTCATCACAGCCGTATTCCTAGAGACATATAAAAATAAGTAGATGATTGAAAATTAAAAGCAATGTGTTTAAACAAACAAAAAAAAAAACAAAAACAAAAACAATACGGACTACCAAAGAATTGTACTTCGAGATAAGAAAACAATAACAGTTTTACAACACACGCAGACACACAATTAAGCACTTAACTAATACTTTGAGCACTTTTCGGGAACTTAACAAAGTATATAAATTTTATCAACAAAACTCAGGAATATGTATGTAAGTGAAAAATATTCTCGTTGCCTTATTTGAAGTAGCTAAGAAAATAGTTTATTTTATTTTTTTTTGTGTGTTAATTAATCTTTTTTGAAATCATTGGTAAATTTGTCGACGAACGAATAAAGTTCTCTACACCTTACATATGTATAGAAAAACATTTCCCCTACATGTTTTTTCAACTAAAAATACCAATCCAATAAATTAATTGATAATTTTTTATATCGTTACCTTAATTGACAAAGGCCCCAACCATCACCTTTTTCGAAACTACGCTTTTGAGAGATTTTGATAGGAGGTATTAAAATACACCTTCAATAAAAATTGTGAAGTGTTAGTACCAAAAACAACGGAGTGCAATGACACTCTTTAAAAAGCCCTACCTGTTTTGATACTCTTTTTATAATATTTTTCGCCTCCCCTTTAAAATAAACTAAAACTTGTTGGTTAGAGCCTTTGTCAATTAAGGCAACGATATGCATATACATATATATATTTTTTATAGAATTTTCGAAAATATGAAGCTGTTATTTTCGAATACACACAACCAGAGTTTGAAGAAATTAAAATAGAGTTTAACACGCATACAATCACAACAAAATGTGAACACATACATAGGCTACATTTATGGGAACGTTTGTTTGTAGTAAATGGCAATATTCTCATCACAGTTTCGATATTTTTGAAAGCTTTCTGTATTTCAAGTGATTATTTGCATCAAAAATCATCTCCAAAAAAATCCCATAAACGTAGTAAACCAATTGAACGCTTGAAAGTGAGGCCTGCACTAAATTTTCGTTAACTTAAAAACTGATAATTTTAAAACTTTTATGTCCAGTTTTTTGGCCATTACCACAAACTGGATATCAAACTTTAGTCATATAAAGATTAACATAATTTCTTGGCACTTTAAGAGCTGCGAAAGGTACGGGAACCTGGAGAAGTGCAACGTGGTCTAGGTTCAAAGCACTGACCGCGGCTACCATACACCCCAGCTGAAGCAACATGAAGTTGAGACTGAAATGATACAAAACGGAGCGGATATCCATCCGAAAATTTGCTTCAAATGGCCCCATACTGGTTGCCTTTAACTCAAGCTGTCCAGTCTCTAAGCCAAAGGGGAGGGGTCTCAGGAAGGAGGTGCACAGACTTTTCAATCGGACAAAGCGCACGGGGAACTGAGACTAAGAAGAAGGAGGTAAGAAATGCCAAGCGTAGCAGTTTCAGGTCCTTTTGTGAGAGCATTTCATCTACCCTTTGGCTGCTGTTTATATTGCGCAAAGCCTTGGCGAAGGACGACACATAACCACAGACTAGCCATAAGGCTGCCAGATGGTACTTATTCTGGTAATGAAAAGGAAAGCGCACTGGCTTTGTTTGAACGATAAATTCCGCAAATGGATAGCTAGGCTGCTACATACCAGGATTGCTGAAACTGGAGTCGCAGACAGCGTAGTAGAACTCCAAACAACAAATGGTTGCGCGCAGGGAGGAGTTCTCCTTTCCTTTGGAGTTTAGTTGTGGCAAAAACTCACTGAAAATGGCGTCCGCTGCAAAGGGGACCCGGGTGTCATAGTTATTATTGCTAGGTGGAAGCTCGTGAGTTCCCTCTGCGACATAGTTCAAAGAGGACTTAACCAGATAAAAAGAGGTGGTGTGCTGAGGTAGGGTTTAATATTAATCCATTTAAGACAGCCATTGTCCCTTTTACCAGGAAAATAATTCTATAGGGAATGAGGAATCTGGTCTAGGGTGGGGTCGTGGTCAATATCGTCACACAGGTTAAGTGTCTGTGTCTTATCCTGGACTCGAAACTTCTGTGGAGGACTCATGTTGAGGTGCTCACTTCCAGGGCTACGAGAGCGCTGATGGTGTGCAAGCATCTAGCGGGAAATACCCAGGGGTGCACAGTAACAATAACAGTAACTTATGGGGCGGTGGCTTGGGTACCACTCCGGCAACGGCAAGGCAGTCCTTTGATGGGCCATTACAGGCTTAGAGGCTACTTGTTTAATCGAAGGATCTGGTAACGCGACTTATGTCGCACCTTTGACTCCGCCAAAGACACACCATTGCACCTGCTCTTGGAGTGCGAGGCCATTTCATGAAGAAGGGAGAGGTGCTTGGGAAATATATGGGCGAGTGAAGAGCCCCGGGATCCATTCTAAAATTCATAGTCTCTGGGGCTGAATTCAGTGTTGCGATTAGCTAAGGGCACAATAGACCTACTGGTCGCCGTGCTTACCCTACGCATCTATCTATATAACTATCTAGCCTCTGTTAGCTACGATCTGGAACTGGTTTTAAAATTACGAAAAAATATATGCTAAGTTTTTAGTTTTAAAAAATGTATTTTCAGTTTCTGTATTTTCAACAATTTTTACCCAGTTTCTACTTTCAAGCGTTCATTTGTAAAAATAAAATGACAGAGTGTCAGTGATAAGATGAAACGGGCTCCATAAAACACATAACCTAGGTTAGGAAACAAATTCCCTCTATAAAGGTGTACCTAACTGATAATAAAAAATAATCGAAATCGAATGTCAATTTTTTCAAAAGTTTAAACAGCAAACTACAGATGTTCCAAAGAACAGCTGAATTTTTCCTGTTAACCAGATCAGTTGTGATTTGAAATTTAAGAGCGAAAAACTATGCATGTGTGAAAGAGCTAAATAGATGACTAAATAACGCATACCACTTGTGAGAGGGAGAGAAGAAGAATAAGCGTTGCTCAAATGAAGTAAGGAACTATTAAAAGAGAGGTGGTGGGAGAGTGAGAAGTTGCAAGTGTACACGTACAAGTTGATAAGCGTGAGGTAGCTGTAACAGATAGTTGAAAGCGGTATTTCAAATAAAAGTAGCATTGCGCTTTGCTATGCGTTAGCGTGAGACAGCGATAAGTGTCTATTTAGTAATTATTTTTTTGCGATTTCATTTGTACGATTTAAAATTTCTGTNAGCAAGTGTACGCGTACAAGTTGATAAGCGTGAGGTAGCTGTAACAGATAGTTGAAAGCGGTATTTTAAATAAAAGTAGCATTGCGCTTTGCTATGCGTTAGCGTGAGACAGCGATAAGTGTCTGTTTAGTAATTATTTTTTTGCGATTTCATTTGTACGATTTAAAATTTCTGTCAATCAAAATTTATAACACTTTTTATGGTTTTAAATTGTGCATCACAATTTGGGTTTTTTTTTTTTGTTCACCTGATGCTGATTGTCATTTGGTTGGTTGTTACTATCGCCCGTGGCGTATGCTTTTTTCTGATTTGATTGATTGTTTATGTCCAACGATGATGCATGCTGTTGTTGTTGCTGCTGTTGCAATGCCATTTTGCTAGGCGTATTGGTGCCGATCGTTTTTGTATTAGCTGCGGCTACGGCTGCGGCGCAACGTGCCTCCCGCTCCCTCTCCCGTTGCGCCGACGCAGCTGAGCCACTTCCCAAATGACGCAATGATGAATGATGATTTGGTGGTGGATGCGGATGCGGATGTGGATATGACGCTGGATGATGGTAATAGTGGGGTGAGCGATGCAGTACGGGGCCGGCAGACATGGGACGGTAGGGCAACTGTAGCGCTGGCCTATAAATGTATGGGTCACCCACCGTAAGGTGTAAACAAGGCGACCATGTGGATAAATAGTTACCAAAAGCAAACAATAAAAGACATGGAAAATTTCCAGGAAATTTCAATGTTAAAAAGGACACAGGGAAAGAAAGAGATATAAAGAGGGAAGAAGAGAAGAAAGAAAACATTGCGGTGTATGCAGAAGAAAAATAAAGAAATTTTCGTTATAAAAAATTTTACTGCATCTTCGGTTTGCTTTTTCTTTTGTTTTCTTTTTAAGTTTTCTGTACCGATTCTTCATGTCCGACAATGTCATGCCTAGCCCAGAGTCCGATGAGGGACTGCGTCCAGTGGCCGCGCTTACTTCCAAGTCAACATCGGTTACCTGCAGATACATATGTAAGGCAATGCAAGTAGTTTACAAAAGCTTTTGAAGGAAACTGAGTTGAGTAGAGAGACTGTACTGTCAATGGCTCGACCTACTTAATTGCCCGCACACATTGTACATATTTGTATGTATGTATGTACGTAGTATGTTTGACTAAATTATGCTTTAAATAAGTACTTAGTAGTGTTTTCTTTCTTTTCATAAATTTTAAATTAAATTTTTTTATTTGCGGCAATAAACCTCTACGGAAAGTAGCAGAGTGAATAGAAGAGAGAGAGACAGGACAGCGTTAGTATGTAAATATATGCAGGTCCATTGGTATGTACGAGTATGTGTTTGCAGTGGTTATTTGTGGTGGCAGCATTAAATAGATTGGATTATATTGTAAGACCTAATGAGGCCAGTGCACTTTTATTACGGTACTGGATGGCGGCGGTTGGTGATGTGCGCTAAGACATTTTGTGAAAGGCGGATTTGAAACGAATTTGCTGGGTGAATTATTGGTGCTGTAGGTGAAGGATTTTTTGCCGATTTGTTCTTTGCAGAAGTGACACAATTTTGCATTGGTGAGTGATAAGATTTATGGTGATATAGCGTATCATAATGAGTGCGAATATATTGCAAGGATTTACTACATACTTAAAAAAAAATTTTATTAAAAAATAAAGTGAGGTAAAATAATAAAAAAATTAAAAACAATAATAAAAATAAAAGAAAAACATTTTTTTTTGGAATTTTATAACACTTAAACAAATCTGAAAATATTTACTTTTTTTAAGCATTGCAATATTTTTTTTTTTAATTTTCGAAACATTTTTTTTGGTTTTAAATTTTGAAATTGTTAGGTTTTTGTTGTATTCTTCAATTACCAAAATGTTTTTCGGGAAATTCCGACTTCTTAGAAAAGTTTTAATTTAACAAAACAAAAAATTAAGAAATATTTCGCTAGATTACAGTGAAAAGTTGTATAATTTTTATCGCTTTTCTTTTGCTTTAAATGCGAAAAATGCTGAATTCAATGTTTTGCGAAATTCTCAGAGAAAATGTCTATAAGAAGCTATTTCCTCTCCTGTAAAATTTGTAAAAATGCACTTATCAACTTTTCACTCAGCTAGCGATTTAAGGAAGTGTTTAATGCAGTGATATGCTTTCAAGAACGAATGACATCATGTAAATGATTTTAGTTTGAACCAATGACTATTTTAAAAATTTAATTTTTTGATTTCTTATAGGAAAAAGTTATTTATTTTACTTCAAGTTAATACGAAAAGTGAAGCTGGCAACTTGCTTTGATATGCAGATGCAGTAGTATTAGTGGTACTCTGTTTACACTCCCCTGTAATTGTCTTTCCTAACTACTTGTTAAACACCGCTTAGATTATTTTTGTGCACAAAAAATTTGGTGCAAAAAGGCGAAATCTCTGACATTTACAACATTTATGTAGTAAAATATTTGAAAAGCCTTTTTATAATCGGAAATAGAAAAGTGAAAATGCTTGAAGGTTTTTTTTAAATATCAATGAATATTGAAGAAGCGCAAAATTAATGCCTTAAATCAAGGAGTTTGCTATAAATTTTACATAATTTGAAATTTTTTCCAAAAATTTGCAAGAACTTGAATTGAAATTTTTTACAGTTTTTTTTTTATCTAACAATCATAAAAATTGACATTAAAATTTTATTTTAAAAAAATTCAAATTTTTTCCGGAAAATTTTGAAGGTATATATGTATATAGAATATTATTCGAAAAATATTTATTAAAAAGCTCTGAATATTTTATAAAGAGTATGATTTTTTTCGAAAACTTTCGAATTTTTTTCGAAAATTTGAAATTTTTTTAATTGAGGCTAAAAATAATTTAGTATTTTAGAGTATTTCAATTTTAAGCGTAAACATTTGAATTTGCTATTTAACATTCAAAAATATTTTAATTATTTTCCGGAAAATTTTGAAAAGTTTAAAATTATTTTTATTATATAAGTATGATTTTTTCAAAAAATCTTGATTTTTTTTTTGAAAATTTTAAACTTCTTTCACAATTTTATTTTGAATCAAAGTTAAGAAATATTAAAAATTGACATTCGAATATTTTTAACACTAGAGCGTGACGGGGGTTGCCAGTAACACAACAAAAGAAGAGAAATTTTCGTAGTAGGAGTAATGGGAAATTTTTCTATGATTCGCTACTTAATTAAAACTATGTTTTAACACTTGGGCTATGGCGCTTTTATCTAACACCTCTATAAAAGCTATGTGTGTGATATGCTGCTTAAGGTTATTAATAAAATATTACGCTATTCATCAAGGACTTTTCAAACTCATTGTTGACGGCTTTAAATTTGCAAAGCTTTATTGAAAATATTGTTTTTAAGTGAATAAACTTATTGGTTATGAATTGTTGTATTTGCTGGTAGCTTTAATTTGATTATTTTTCTCATAAAATGTTTTTTTTTTGTATTTTTTTTTTTGTTTTTGGCATAGCGCTGCTAAGCGCATGCTTTGACATATCAAATCAATATATGTATTTGTTAGCAAATTGTAACAAAATGCTCAGCAAAAATTATGCACTCTTTGTATGTTTCTATTTTATTTGTTATGGTAATAAGTGTATCACGTGTACAATGTAATTGAAGTAATATAATAAGTAGATTTATTATTTTTTAGTTTTTTTCTGTGTTTTCTCTATTGATTTGTCTGCATTATTGTCTTTCAGTTTGTTAGTGTCTCATTTTTAATTGAGAAGTATATTTTTGTCTTTGTATAGTACAGTGTATAAATTTCTAACAGAAAAGCAATCACAACTACAGTATTTTCTAGTTTTCTTCATTATAAACAACAACAACAATCGAATTTATGTTTGCTTTGAGTTTGAGTTACTGGGCAGATTCGTTACAGTGGAAGAAAAACATAAATAATTATTAACAATCTTTAGCGTAAAAATTTTAATTGGCTATTTTTAACTGTTCAGTATTGTTTATACACATCGAGTTTGACTAATAAAAGATACAACAATTACATTACAACAACAATTATAGTTAACATGCCTTTTTGTTAAATTACATATGTATGTAAATACGTTTATTAACTAGTGTTAATATGTATAATATTGTCAAGCAAAGATAGTTAGATATTTATATTGAGTGGTTTTTTTTTTTTGTCAGTATACGGGCTAATAAGGTTAGAGTAGATAGTACGAAACGCTTAGTGTATAGAACTATTTTGAGTTTGTATCTTTAATTTTTTCTTTGTAGTCAGAAGACAACATTTATGGACTTGAGTAAGGATGCTAGTAGTAAATAGTGTCTGTATCGTAGAATAAATCTTCTAAAAAGCTTACCGGTAAATCACGTGCGGGTTCTCCTTTACGCTGTGGTGATGAGTGAATAAAGAGGGAGAAAGGTAGAGAACAATAAAGTAACAACATGTTTTAGCTACGCTCTAAAGTTATCTACCTAATTCGGCATGGAAACGAAGCTACGAATTACTAGTTTTACTATTAGTTCATTGTTAAAAACAAAAAAATCTAGTTTAGAACTTTAAACAAACAGCCCGTAAATTGATCCATAAGCGCCTCAGATACATTGCAGATTATATGTAGTTATATTGACTTACAACATCATTAAAATATTTTATGCACCGTTTGAGAAGTGCATATGCGCATATTTCTGCACAAAGTAGCTCAATGAAATAATACTATTGCATATGCAAGTACTTCAAGACATACTATAATATTTGCTCATCTAACAGCTTATCAGATGTAAAATCCTTGCGTGGACATTCTAGAAATCGCTCCGCTTCATTTTGAATGCCATAAAAGTCCAAGTGAATGACAGGCTCGTCTAAAAATTTTAAACAAAACTCATGGTGTCATGCGCTGCTATGCCCCTGGGATGGTTGTAAGTCAGGTGATCTCCGACTTTATTCTAATGGCGATTCCGATAATAACGGTGCTTTTACTACATCACGAGGCTTTGTTGTCGTTGGCAATTGATGCCCCATAAAAAAACAAAATTAATCTAAGCGCACCTGCCTCAAGTTTTACAGCGGATATCTGCCCGTGTCCGTGAACATCGATTAAGGGTTCATCTTTAACCAATGAGCTGTATCTATTTACCATCGCAGAATTACCACCCGTTCTTTCACAATATTACCTTACATAAGATTCAAGAATTGCAAAATACATAAATCAGAAATCATAGGGGAACGTTTCTTATTTTTTAACTAACTTGTGGCTCATTTAAGGATTTAAGACGATTCGACCTGTGGACTATTAGATACGTTCTTTTTAGTAATAGTTGCCTACAATGAGAGTTCTAAAACTAACGACAGTTGCTATTGCACTATTTCCCTCTTTTTGTTTTGGTATTTTCATATTTCTTGGGCTCAAAACCTCATTACTAATTTTATTCTAAACCAGGAATTCAAAAATTATTTCACTCACCCTGTGCCTCTCCACGCTATAGGGATCACGTTCTCTACGATAAACAAGCTCATCGTATCGCGCACGATCCTCTGGGTATATGAGTTCACGTAGTTCCGTCACTAACGTATGCTAAAAAGAGAAGAATTGCTTTTAGGAATAACCCAATTCTCGGGAGGGTTCTGCAATTCACTTCCGAATGAATTACAACCAAAGCCATTTTGAATTCAAATTGAATGGGGAATCCACTCGGAAGTGAATGACAGAACCTCTATGGCTATCTAAAAATAAAACTAAGGATAAAGTCGACTATGCCACTGTAAGCAAGCGGCAAGTATGTTAGTTTTGACTTTGCATATTTTAATGCCGATACTTTGTTATCAATATCTTTGTAGTCGACTGTGGCTCTCCTTAAATAATAGCTTAAGCGACAGTTATCAATTGCTTTCACTTACCTTCTCGTATGTGTCAAGCATTTCTAATAAAACGGCAACAAAGGCATCTATGGTCATCGCTCTCGCAGCATATTCGGCAATATAGTAGGAGAGACTTGCAAATTGATGGCGTGGCAGAAGAGAGCGTGCCTTCTCCTCCACCATTGCGGTTATTTGACCTTTTCGACGTGCTCTGCAAAATACAAATAAAAGTTGAGCATCTAAAGATTTGTAAAGCTTAACGAATGTAGACAACTGACCTCGTCCCCGTCGGACTATACGCGTCCCAAGGCTCCATTTCAATGGATGTACAGGAGTGTGGCACTTTACCGACGTCGCGTATCACAAGCGACATACGTTTATGGTATTTCAACTGACTGACCGCTTCGTCGTGTGTCACGTCAAGAAATGACTGCCCGTTGACCTCGAGTATCTCGTCGCCGACCATAAGGCCAGCTCGATCAGCGACACTGTCCTTATCGACGCCGGTGACGAAGATGCCGAGGCCGTATTCAACGCCACCACGTATCATGAGACCTAGCGATTGCCCCGGTTCAATGAGCAGCTCAACGCGTCGTATTCTAGAGAAATATATATATAAAGGAATCAGTGATTTTGGGAATAGAAAAAACATTTGTATTGTAAGTGGGCACACCTTTCTCGACGATCAGTATGCCGTCCACCATACTCCATGGGCGGCGATGCGGGACGACCATGTCGGTCCATCCAGGAACATGTCTGACGAAATGGCAAACCGCTGCCACCAATCATCGTCGCTCCGGGTGGCAAACCAGCCGCAGATTGTGGCAGTAGTGGCGCCATCGATGCGTACATGGGATCCCGCGATGAAGGTGGACCGAAGCCGTGCAATGGCGCGTGGGAGTTGAGCGTCGGTGGCGAGCGTACCGTCATACTGATTTGACGTGATGATTTCAATATCTGCACACATCTCTGCGTTAAGAAAAAATTTGGCAATAGAAGAGACAAAAGAGAAAAGAGAAGGAGGAGCACAGACGAATAAACGATAAAACGAAATAAACGAACTCAATTTGAAATTATTAAGTGGAATGAAATAAAAAGTAAATAATAGCAAAAAGTGAACAAAGGACACACAAAAGCAAGTCTTACAGGAAACTATGCCAAATCAACGACAAAGGAAAGGAAACTAAGTAGAAGAAATTGAAAAACGTGAAAACTGAATTTTAAAGCAGCTTTGTGTGTCAGTGCTGTATAGATGTGCAGTGCTGTCTGTCTAACTGTTTACTTATTTTTAGTTGTATTTGTATTTGTGTGGCAAGGTAACACAGTGCAGTGCAGGAGTGCGAAGGCTGGGAATAGCAGTGGGAACTCAGGTAGGACTTTATAATCGAAATTCCCTGTTTCCACACCAACAAAAAAAAGATTTTTGTATTAAATTATGGAACTCGTAGTACGAAATGGACTAATTTGCACGCCTACTAAATCGAAGACTCTCAAAACATAGCTCCTGGTGGATAAGTATATTGATAAGTATATGTAAGTCGAAACATAATCCGCGGGCAGACCTATTAGGCTTTCTAAAGATCTTATATAAAATTTTAATAAGCCAAACGCGGGGAACAGCTTTCCGAGGCATATTTTTTATGGGCATGCAAGGCTCAAAAGCTCTCTCTGATCATCGCTGATTTGGACGCGCGATCTTTAAAAGCTCTCTGTGGTCTTGACTTTAAGCTTTTTAAATCTCTCCTTTGATTTCATATGAACTTATTCAATACATTTAAGTCACTTACGTCTAGTGATGGCACGATTAATCGAATAACCGATTGAAATCGGTTATTTTCATTCGATTAATGACTTAATTGAATCGAAAATTTCATTTCGATTAACTTTTAAGACCTTTTATCGAAATAGTTGTGCATTTTATAATAAGCCGAGGCCATACCAATAAAGTATGACACTTCAGGGAAAGTGCTTTTGTTAGTGCGAAATTTTAAATATGTGGCAGCACTGATGCTGTACGAGTAAATACTACCAAAATAGTGTTTTGTAAGCTTGTAAAATATAAATAAGGCTTCGCCGTGGTAAATTGTGACTAGAGCTTAACTAAACCGAGTTTAAAAAAAAACAACAAACTCATTGAACGAAAATGGTTTTAAAGACGGAATGAAAATCAGAGAACTCAATTGAAGATACACAAAAAGACATAACAAAAGGAACAACTTATCTATTGCCAATTTTTTCTCATTGTGTATTAAAAGTGTCGGAGGAAATTGTCTCACATGGCCAATAGTTTAGTCAATTCGTATTCAACTCATTTTAATAAAAAATTGGAAATTTAGAATTTTCGCAGGGAAATTGGTTGGTTTTGTTATTTGAATACATATCATTAATATTGGTACTTTTTATAATAATATATTCTTGTAAACATTTGTGACGGATGAAATGTACGAGTACGAGTGCGTGAGGGAATGAGTGAGAGTGCGGCAAGTGAAGTGATTTTTTTGAATGCATGAATGGGATTGACTCTACATTTGACTATTTATCAAAGTCTATGTATTGGTGGCTAATGACAACTGAAATGAAGTGAAAGCTACTATGATGGTAGTGACCGTAATCTTACAATTTTAAATATACTAGCGTAAATATACAGCTTCTCCAATCCATATTTGGCTTCACAAATGGAAATATCTACACTCCACCTCCGAAGTACAATCGGAGGTTTGCCATTTTCTGCCGAGCGGAGACCGCTATTAAAATGAAAATATTTTTCGGGCTGCCTCCATAGATGCAGGCCCACTTAGACTCTACTAAGCCGTCCATTGTGTTGCCTTTAAGAGTGGAGACGACAAAGAACGCAAGGAGATCTGAAGAAGTGTGGGAGGGTATGGAAAGAGGGGGAGGTAAGGAAGAATGACACCTACGGCTTTATGCAGGAGAAACGCTCCGTGCGCGCAACAAAACTCTTCAATCGACTGATGCCCATTCTCGAAAACTCATCGGGAGTACGAAAAAAATGCAACCCAATGGGCTTAAACCTTAGGCTCGCAAAGGCGGGGCAGCAGAGCAATAGGTGTTGAGATGATTCCAACTCATCATCCATAATGTTCAGCCTACGGCATGCTTACCTATCATGCAGTGACCAGTTATCACTCCCAGTCTCAAGAGCTCTCATCTCGCACAGAAAAAGAGCACATTTAGGCCACCATTGGCCCGTCGGGATACCATATTAGAGACTCCTTATGTCCCTCCTCTTACCTTAAAAATGGAACCACCTTAGAAATGGAACCCCATATAATAAAATTGGCTTGAACACTTAGTGGAACATATTTTCATAAAGCCAATGAACTACCTTCGGCGAGAGACCACAGCGCTTTCCAATGGCCGCGGTATAACAATACAAGGGAACTGTAGCCTTCTTGACCCACTCCTCTACTTCAGCCTTCGAGAAAAGCTTACTGTCAAGGATCAAGCCCAAGTACTTCACCCTGTCAGGGAACCTTAGAGGAAGATCTCCCGTTGCAGGATGCCAGAAATTCGCTATATTATATCTTCTAGTACAAAGAACAAGCTGCGTTTTAATGGAGTTTACACCCAGCCCACAACTAGAAGCTCAGTTCTAATCCAAGCTTAGTGAACGATACATAAGTATTTCCCGAAACTTTCCTTTTAATATCAAAGCTACATTACCAGCATAGGCAACCAACCCCCTTGCGGGGGGCCTCTACTCACACATCCCAGATTGAAGCGCCGTCCTACTTTGCTGAGACAGTTCTGTTGCAAAGTAAGCGGTAAATAAACATTAAAAGGTCGACTCCGACCTCTAGTTTGTTTAGGGAGTTACTGCAGCCTCAGTCAAAACATTATTAAAAGCCCCTTCGATATCAAGGAAGGCGCCGACCGCAAATTCTTTTAGCGAAAAGGTCTGCTCGACACTCTCAAGGGCTAGTTTAACAGAACTGCCCTTGCAGTAGGCATGTTGATCCAAGGAAAGACGCTCCCTGAGCATCCCGCTTCTTAAGTGCAGATCGACCAGTATCTCCAGCGCCTTAAAGTGAAACGAGGAGAGACTTATGAGCCTGAAGTCCTTGGGAACATTAAAAGGGAAAGTTAAAATAAGACCAAACTTGATTTTCTCCCTGATATTTTTATGTTTGTTTAACTTTTGATGTAAAAAAATTTTAATTTTGGTAATGACTTCATCCCAACATAAGCATTTTCACGGCATGAGAACTATGTAAGATAAACGGTATATACGGATTTTTCTTAATTTCAAAATCAGGAACAGTTTTTTTGGTTTAATTGAAAAATTTCGAATAACTCGAAAACCGGCTTTGGAAAAGGCGATTAATCGAATACTCTACTTTTACCAGGCACTTGTTATGTACAACCAGAAATAAGAGGCGCTTATGTGTTCTTCTTTCGTCGAAAGCCATACCGGGGTGGCGAAAGTGTTTATCATCACTTTAACTTTCATTAGCACATTGCAGAAAGTTGACCTATAATTACCACAATAAATGTAGATTATTATTGTCATGTTATTGACATAGTAGCCGCCGTTATTTTCGCTAACGGTCATTTTGAACAAATTCGGTCATTTGCTGCCAAATTTTTTGTTTAAACGTGTGGCCTGATTTCCAGCAAAATGATTTGAAATCGCGAAAAATACAAATGTATGCCCGCATGTGTAAATATATGCGGCTTATGTGAATTTTCACACATTTATGCATATTTGATTGCCCAGCAGTAAAGTCTGTTTCTATAGCATGGATTTCGAATCAGTTATGAAGGCCCATAAAATAAATTAAAAGAAAAATTGCAGGCTTTGTCAAGTGGTTTTTTGGCAAATTTTCTCATACGTACATATTATGTACATAGATATGCACAAAAGCATTCTTCGACAGAAGGGTGTTTTTGGTCGAAAATGATGGCACACTTATATGGAAAAATGCATTATCTTCAGTTTTGTTTTAAGAACAAGACTCCATCGCGAAATTGTATTTAAATAAAAACTTAAAAATAATATACTAAAAAAATTAAAAATAACCACTTGTGCTTCTATGCTTAAGTAATTTAATATTGGCGTGGAAGATTTTACACAGTATTCCTTATATACATACATATATATTAATTTCTTCATGTACATATATAACAATTTTAGAATAAATTTCGAGTGTGCCAATAAAAACTGTAAACATGTACTTTTAGTTTCTTAAATCATTGGCAGCTTTTAATCATGGTATTTTTTTGCATTTAGTAGCACATTAGTTTTTTTACACCATATTCGTTCGTTTTGGCAAGAGTGACATTTTTACCGTATAATTTTAACATTTTAAAGTATATTTAATTAATCAAAAAATCAATGTAGCTTCGTCAGATATTCAGCATGCTTCAATTTTTTTTATAATTTGGTGGCACACTCTCGAAATTTCACAGATATGTTGTATATCATGCCAACGTTCATTGCCTCTTATATGAGCTTTCTATTTAAAAACTTCCCAAAGTTATTAAAAAAAAAAACAATTATGATTTTTTCAAGTGACAATGAATTAGTAATTTCGATACTTTTTCGCCTAAATAAACGTTAAAATTAACTTGTTAAAATACTTGATTAATTATTTTATTATCATACTTGTTTCTAGACCTCCATTGATTGAAATATATGCAAGAAAAATGCTTTAGAGTTTTTTTTACGAGAAAAGGACTCGAGAACACTTTTAGTGCCTTTTCACTCATCTT